TGCTCCTGTTCTCTTTCAGGTCATTGATCATTTTCATCAGAAATCTGGCATTTTTCCGACTTCAGTAGTTGAGGAAGTTGTGAGGTTTGGAGGAGTCAGGCTACCCCGTTTTACATCTCTCTTGTGCCTCTGTAGATGGATACCTCACTTGGTTGGGGTGTCTCTCATGGATTTTGGGAGGGGCCAGGGAAATCTTATCAAGTGGGCTACTTTTGAAGGTTCAATCCCTGTTACCATTTGGTGAAGGGGAAACAAACCACTTGTGGAAGTGACTCGGAAGTCCTCTCTTTCTGGGGGAATGGCACCATTGAGCTGCGTTCTGCGTGCTTCTATTCATCACACCCTTTTGTTTCTGCTCTTTTGCGATATCCTTCCATTTCTGTCGGGGATTTCTGAAGCAAGTCCTCTTTTTCTTTGGGATAAAGTCTATTCTTTATTCTGATTCTCTTCTTCATCTGCCCTCAGAAGCAGATTCTAGGCCACCATCTTACCTGGAAGTCTCTCTCCTCGGGAAATCTTTTTCAAACGTAGCTTTTATCTGATTTGTTGATATCAAAAAAAGTTGTTAAACATTAATCTTGTATTTGCTCACTTACTAAAGTCTTTAATAGTTCTAATAGTTACTTTTATTTTTGTTAAATTTCTTGAACCTTATTTATATATATACACACATACGTACAAGCGCGCGCTCACACACACACACACACACACACACACACACACACACATTCGTGTGTGTCTTTTTGCTTCATTTGTTTTATTCCATTAGCCAGGCATTCCAGAACAGCCTTCAGTGGTGCGGTGCTGACAACAATCTTTTCTCTCATTTCAGCTTTTGTAACTATCTTGACTACTTCTTCAGGTAATTTCAAATTAATTTATACTTTATGTTTTTTATTGCATATATATACATTGTGTGTATGTTGGGGGTTGAATGTGTGTGGGGGTGCATGTGTGCCATGGCATGTGTGTGGAGGTCAAAGGACAGCTTTGTGGGAGTCAGTTCTCTTCTCTCACCTTGTCAGATCTGAGTATTGAACTCAGGTTGTTGGCCTTGGCAGCAAGCTCCTTTACCTGCTGAGTCATCTCACTGACCCTGTTTTAGGCTTTTTATTGCTTTTAGCCATCTCTACTCTATTTTTATTTGACTTAGAGTTTTGCTTATTGTTTACTTTTTTTTTTTTTTTTTTGGTTTTTTTGAGACAGGGTCTCCCTGTAGCCCCAGCTGTCCTGGAACTCACTATGTAGACCAGGCTGGCCTTGAACTCACAGAGATCCACCTGCCTCTGCCTCCCAAGTGCTGGGATTAAAGGCGTGCGCCACCATGCCCAGCTTATTGTTTACTTTTATCAAATACATCGTTTTTTACAATTATCATTCAGTTTATTTTCTTCTTTTAAATAACATAAACAGATCAAGGTGAGAACCACAGAATAGCATTTAAAGAATTTACAAAGAATAACATATAATTTGTTACTACTTTTGATTCTATAATCTTGGAATAAATTCAACTTGTTCATAATTTTAATATGTTGACTTTTTGCTAATGTTTTATGGATTTTTATATTACAATTCAATTTTTATATTAAATTATTTTGTTCTATAGAGTTTGGGCTTGTTTGTACCTTTTCTAATATTTATCTAGTCAAATTTCCCTTTTAATCTGGAATGAGTTTTGATAATTTAGGTTCTACTAGACATATGTCCATTTCATGTAGATTTTTCTCAGTAATTGTTACATTATATATTCTGTTTTAATTTTTCTTTAATTACATTTGTAAATATAATGCTTTGAATTAAATATTTTTAGGAGTGTACATAAATAAAATTTTCCTAATCTTTATATAATTTTATCTTTTTCTTAGCATTTGAGTAAATTCACTGAGTATAAAATACTTCAGTTATAGCTACTTTTCTGTACACAATAGCTTTTGAGTTATTTTCTTCTAGTATTTAATATTAAAAGGATAAATCTGTCTTTCCTTAGTTGTAAATTATTTGTTTATTTTTGAGATAGGGTAGCACATAGATCAGTTTGGCCTCAAATTCCTTACATAGCTGCAGCTAATATTGAATTCCCCATCCTCTTAACTCTATCTCCCAAATGCTGGGATTACAGGCTTATATAACAACATACCCATTTCTTGTAGTAAACAGTTAATATATTTGTTGGCTTTATTTAGTTTATGGCTGCCGTTAAGGTTTGTCTGCTTTCCCCCCCATTAGTGAAACGTTTTCTTAAGATAATTTTAAAAGTTCAGTGAAACAAGTCATAGAACTTTCCATGTTTTTATTTAAAATAGTCTAAAGACTAGTGAATGTAAATGGTAAGGCTTTAAACATTTTCTGAACTCTTCCATTGTTACTGGGCAATTTGTGTCGTTTATCTCTTCTCAGTCATTTCTGCTTATTATTATCTATTATCTATTAATTTATATTTTATTAGTACATTGTTTCATCTAGACTTTCAAATGTGACCAAAAGATTATTTTATTGTGTAGTTTAAAAAATTTTCTTCTTTATTTGTGGTTATATATACTTTATCTTTAATAATCTTTATATTTTTACTTTCTGTCTTGAATAGGATTGTAAAGTGTTCTTTTGAAGTTCTTTCAAATGCACAGATATTGGAATTATTGTCTCACATTTTTGTTTTGATTAGTTATGCCATTTATCTTCATTGATTTTCTCCTACTACTTTAAAAAATATTTTTATTTTTCAATTATGCCTGTGTGTGTGTGTGTGTGTGAAGAGGGCTGTCTGATCCCCTGGAGCCTGAGTCACATGTATGGGAACTGAATTAGGGTCTTCTGGAAGAGCAGTATGAACTCTTAACTGCTTGAGCCAACTCTTCAGCCCCATCCTACTACATGCTTTATTTATTTTTTTGTTTTGCTTTCTTGAGACAGGATTCCACTATGTAGCATTGACTGGCCTGGACCTCACTATGTAGATCAGGCTGACCTCAGACTCACAGAGATTCACTTGCCTCTGCCTCTTGAGTAGTGAGATTAAAGGCATGGGCCACCATGCCTGGTCCTCCTACTACATTTTAAAATCTGCTGTTCCTTTTTAAACTTCTTGTTTTATTCTTTTATTTTTAATACATTTAAAATTTAATTTAACTTATTAGTGTGTTTATGTATGATGTATGTATGTAGATGTTCATGCCATAGTGTGTGGGTGGAGGTCAAAGGATAACTCTGTGGAGTCTTTCCTCTCTTTCGTTTTTATGAAGGCTCCAGTGATTAAACTCAGATCATCAGGATTTCATGACAAGCACCTCACCTACTGAGTCATCCTGCAGGCCCTATTTTAATGAATTTTCACTAAACATTTATGCAACATTTTATTAAAAATTTTCTGAGACCCAGGCAGGGTGGTTGTATACCTTTTACTCCAGCACTTGGGAGGGAGGCAGAGGTACACGAATCACTGTGAAATCAAGGCCAGCCTGGTCTACATAGTGAGTTCAGGGCCAGCTGGGGCTATAGGGAGACCCTTTCTCAAAAAACCAAAAAGAAAAAAATAATTCTGAGAGATTTAACTATTTCTTGCAGTTATGATCTGAAGCCCACTCTTACTTTCTGTGTAGAGATTGCAATTTCATTGTTAAAAATTGATTAAGCTTGGACTCTGGCAGTTCCACGTGTTTGTGATACACACTGATTGCTCTTATTCACTCCCACCTCCTTCCTACGCCATTTACTGCCTCCCAGGCCATAAATCTCTTTCTTACATTAATGTCTATTAATTTGTTTTCTGACCCACTGTTCTAGCTTACTTTCTGTTGATGTGATAAAGACCAAGACCAAAGGCAACCTAGGGGAGAAAAAGATTTATTTCAGTTTATATTTCCAGCTTGTGGTCTATTGTTAAGGGAAGACAGGACAGGACCTCCACCGGGAACTGAAGTAGAAACCGTAGAGGAGTGCTGCTTACGGGTTAGCTGTCTTTGGCTTCTGCTCGGCTATTTTTTTAAAAACTATTTTACTTGTTATTTTTATTTTATGTGTATGAGTGTATTGCCTGCATGTGTGTAAGTAAATAAAAATAATAAAAATAAAAACAAAAAAATCAAGACCATTGGATATAAATTTTTGAATTTTAAAAAATGTTTTATATATTATCAATGTGTGTGTTTGTGTGTATGTGTGTGTGTGTGTGTGTGTGTGTGTGTGTGTGTGTGATATGTGTTTGGGTGCTGGTGAACCATGGCATGCATGTGACGGTCAGAGGACAGCTTTATGGAGTTCATTCTCTCCTTCCAACTGTATGTGGACTCCAGGGATGGAACTCAGGTATCAGACTTGCAAGATCTATCCTTTACCTCCTAAGCCATCTCACTGGCCCCAATAGAATTATTTTTAAGTGTTGGACACAAAGTGTGGGAATGGATACAAAGAGTGCTGTGTACTTTGACAATCATTTGACATCATTTTCTAATGTTAAATGTCACATGTCCCATGTTCCTAGATATACATCAAAGAGACACTCTTGTTATATCTACAGCAAGAGACACATGCAAGAATTGCTCATGATAGTACTGGTTAGCAAAGCCAAAGGCCTACAAGATCTCCTAAGTACAGAAATGGGAAAATGGGCAGAAGAACCTGGACTTCGTGGCATGTTCTACTGCAGTTAGAATGATGAGCTAGAGAGGCACAGAAAGTGGGTGGATCTTAGCTATACCAGTGAAAAGTGAATGCTAAAAGATTTCACAGATAGAATTCCTTTATATAATGTTAAAGAGAGAAGGAGAAAGGAGAGATTTAAGAATGTGTACATGGAACAATTACACACAAAGTAGAGCAAGTGTTTGGTAAATACAATGCTCAGAGTAATATTTCTTCTAAATGGTGGAAGTGAGGGGATGGTGGGTGATTGGTGGAGCTGTAGATGATGTCTTCTCTCTTACTAACTGTTCTGAATAGGGTTTCATGGGTGCCTTTGACACAGTTAAAATTAATTAATTAATTAAACAAATGCGGGCTGTAAATGGACTAATGATGAGAAATTATCGGGGTCAGAGATTATGAATAGACTATTTTTGTAAATTTGTGGTCCAATTAAAAATTAACAAAATTGGCTTTTTAAAATCATGCCCAGTTTCCCTTTTGGGTCTGTTAATTATCTTTAACCACTGCCTTGTCTGATATCAGTACTGGCATTGAATTTTTTTGTGACTGCGTTTGTCTGGTGTCTCTTTGCCCACTTGTCTATATTCATTTTTTTGTAAATGTGTTTTAAATGGCTTATAAAATAATGCTTCTTAAATTTTAATACATGTTTAACTCACTTGGGCTCTAATTACAATACAGTTTCTGTTCTGTGGGTCTGGGGTGGGACCTGGGATTTTTCATATTTTACCAGGCTCCCGGTGAGGCTGATAGTGCTGGTTCCACAAAATATCACATAAAAAGATCTTAAATGATGTACAGCTGAGCTTGGTTAACCCAGAAAGACCCAGCATTGATTTTAAATAAAAGGACTGATCATACTCACATTTAATGAAATAATACACATAATTAAGTCAGCCTTCCTATATTTACTTATATTTAATTTAGTGTTTTATTTGAATCAGGTTACTGTTCATTCACTTGTTCTTTTGGTTGGAAGTAGTAAAATTATTTTTTATTCAACTCATTGTATATTTGTATTTTTCTCTTATCTGTAGTTTATATATTCAACAAATATTTAATAAGTACCAATAAATATTTTGGAGTGGCTATATATGCTGTTTTTTTAAATATTTTATTTATTATTTTAAATTTATGCTTATGCATGTATTGCCTGGTATAGGTAAGTGCACCTGTGTCGTGCAATGCCCGCAGAAGACAGAAGGGGCTGTCAGATCTCCTGGAACTGGAGTTACAGACAGTTGTTAGTTGCCCTGTGGGTGCTGGGATTCAAACCCGGGTCTTCTGCAAGAACAACCAGTGTTCTTAACTGCTAAGCCATCTCTCCAGCCCTATGCTGTTTTTTAAAAGGCAAACTGCCAACTATGTCCTCCTTCTAAGTCATCTATTCATCTACAAATTTCCCCAGCTGGTACTGTTTGCATCTTAAGTAGTTCCAAAGACCAGTATGTTGGAAGATTTAGTTCCTAGCTTGGTATTACTAGGAGGTGGGGCTTAGTGGGGAGGCTTCATGTTGGGTCTGGGCCCTTGAAGAATGGGATCCTGCTCTCTTCTCTTCCTCTTTTGTTTCCTGGCTATGAAGTGAGTGGCCCTGTGATCCCACCATGTTATGTAGCCACAGATGAAGCTGATCACAGACTGAATGCTCTGAAATTGTGAACTAAAATAAACCTTTACTTTTTGTCTTTTTGGTTGTGAGGCTGAGCCTTTAATGGCTGTAGCAGTTCTCCCAACCTTTACATTTTATAGGTTGATTTTCTCAGGAACTCGTGTCATTAACAAGGAAGTTAGCCACTTCAATAACATATCAAGATTGCTAATCTGTTCCTTCCTTTTCTTTCTAGTGTGTTAATACATTTATAATTCACTTTCTTATCCCTCATCTGTATAATCCCTATGCATTTCTAAAGTGGCTCTGTACCTTTAATTTAAAACTATTTTTAAGTTTTTCCCTATCACCTAAGAATTGAAACTGATCCCTACTACTGCCCAGCACCATCTTGCTGACTAGCTGCACTCTCCTGTTTCATTGTGCCCACTGCAGAGCGCATCAACTGCTTCTCTTTCCTCCCCCTATTTTCTTCCTCTGACTTGAGTTCCTTAATCAGTCTCATATGTTGCTTAAAGACATTTCATTAGCTTTTTACACCTAGGATACATGAGTGCCATATCTTTTATATTTCTTATAACTTCCTTTTGTCCTGATGATTAGATGATTGCTATCCTGGCTGGATGTAGAAGTCTTGGGTTAATTCCACTGAATTTCAAAAAACTCAGTTCCTATATTAGAAGCTCAAAATTGCTTGTGATTTGGTTTACTTTCCTTTAATACTTGTGGTATGGTTATTGTCATCATTACTGTGTTTGAATTGTCATCTGTCTCCTCCAAATGTTCTTTATTAGGAAGCTCCTAAGTGTGGCTTTAACTCTCTCTTTTGGTTATTTTGTTTTCTTCCTTTCCCCATTTATTGCTTGGTCAGTTTCTCAGGGCCAAATTCCACTTCTATGAATTGGTGATGGAGAGGATGGCCCATGTGTAGGAGCAGTATTGGTGATGGAGATGATTTTCCGTGTAGGACAGTGTTGGTGATAGAGACGATGTCCCATGTAGGAAGCAGTGTTGGTGACAGAGATGATATCCCATGTAGGAGGCAGTGTTGGTGACGGAGATGATGTCCCATGTAGGAGGCAGTGTTGGTGACGGAGATGATGTCCCATGTAGGAGGCAGTGTTGGTGACGGAGATGATGTCCCATGTAGGAGGCAGTGTTGGTGATGGGGATGATGTCCCATGTAGGAGGCATTGTTGGTGACGGAGATGATGTCCCATGTAGGAGGCAGTGTTGGTGACGGAGATGATGTCCCATGTAGGAGGCAGTGTTGGTGACGGAGATGATGTCCCATGTAGGAGGCACTGTTGGTGATGGAGATGATGTCCCATGTAGGAGGCATTGTTGGTGACGGAGATGATGTCCCATGTAGGAGGCAGTGTTGGTGGCAGAGATGACGTCTCATGTAGGGGGCAGTATTGGTGATGGAGATGATGTCCCATGTAGGAGGCAGTGTTGGTGGCAGAGATGACGTCTCATGTAGGGGGCAGTATTGGTGATGGAGATGATGTCCCATGTAGGAGGCAGTGTTGGTGGCAGAGATGACGTCTCATGTAGGGGGCAGTATTGGTGATGGAGATGATGTCCTATGAAGGAGATAGTGCCAGTGATGGAAGTGAAATAGTAATGTCCATCTCAACAGGCTAATGGCTAGTGGGATACCTCTCAGTCCTCTCAGCTTCAAAGGCTAGTATTCTTTAAACTGAGATGCAGGTGCTATGGTAGTTTCTTGGGAGCTGCTCATTTATTTTCTTTTACTTGTATTTTCTTTTCACTCCCCAGGAAGACTAATCTCAGTGAGGATCTTTGGTGTACAGCCATTCTGAATTAGGCAAGCAGAGAACACAGTAGTGCCTATCAAGACAGTAATGTACCAAACGCCCCACTTCCACTCAGAAATTCAGCTCTTCAGCCTCTCCTTGAATGGCTTTTCCTTCTTATCATTTTTCTTTGAAATAGATTTTTACTGTTAACCCAGGCTGGCTTAGAACTTTCTGTGTAGTCCAGATTTGCGTCAAAGAAGACAGTATCCTCTTTTTCATCCTCTTGAGTGCACAGGCAATCTTCTTTTACCTTCCTAATCTTAGCTGCTCTAATTACCCTTTTTTACAGGCACCTCCAAATACACACTTCCATATCCATGCCACAAAGAAGTTTCTGCATTTTTACCTTGATTAACTTTTCTTTTTTTTTTTTTATTTTTTAGACAGGGCCTCACTATATAGCCCTGGTTGACCTAGAACTCATTATGTAGACGAAGCTGGCCTAGAACTCACAGAGATCCGTAAGTCTCTGCCTCCCAAATCCTGGGATTAAAGATATCTGCTACCACACTCAGCACCTTAGTTATCTTTTAATCTAGTTGTTTCTATGCCATTCACTTCCAGATTATCATCAACCTCCGCATTCACAATATTGTGATTTCCATCCCAGACACTGCTCTCAAGACCCAGGCATCACAGTACTTATATACTCTGAGTAGGCAAAGCCTCCTGATTAAAATAAGTTATGTCACATATCTGGGTGTTCAGGGTTCTGACATGATGCCGGTACAGAATAGACATTTCACATGGAGACACATTTCTGCTAATATTTTCAATATTATAAACCCATAAAATTTTGCTGATTCTGGGCTATAAAAACAAAAGTTAACTACAAAGATGGATAAGCGATCAGTCTTTTCCCTCTTATGTTTCTACAGCAACAGATAGAAGAATAGAAATGTTTTCTTTTTTTACTTTTTTTTTTAACAGAAAGATCTATATTGTCCATCTTGGTAGGAAGCTATGATCAGAATTATTTCAATTTGAAAAACTATCCTCATCATCTGCACAACTCACTGATCTGTTGATGACCTTCATCTTGTACGGACTGCCTGAGCATCTATTGAGGACTCACTGATCTGTTGATGACCTTCATCTTGTACGGACTGCCTGAGCGTCTATTGAGGACTCACTGATCTGTTGATGACCTTCATCTTGTTCGGACTGCCTGAGCGTCTATTGAGGACTCACTGATCTGTTGATGACCTTCATCTTGTACGGACTGCCTGAGCGTCTGTTGAGGACTCACTGATCTGTTGATGACCTTCATCTTGTACGGACTGCCTGAGCGTCTATTGAGGACTCTTGTGTCAGCCTCAATGGTAACAGCTTAGCTGTACTGCTTATGTCCACCTTCTGGATCCATTTCCTTAATTTGAGTTAGAGATGTTGCTATAATTTTTGCTGTTATCATTCAGACTTCATAATTCTTTCTATTTTGTCAATGTTAATACTGATATGACATCTAGTAAGTGATTGATCTTCCATAGGGCCCTATGGTCAGTTACGTTTGCTTGTTATCAGCACATAGGGGCCAATCCACAGATTTATGGCTGTCATAAATATCGTTACCAAAAGTACAGTTTCTTTTTTTTCCTGTGTGCTAATTTCTAATAACTCTTGTGCATGAGAGCAATTACTGACAAAAGTCAGCCTCTGCCAATAGAGTTTATCACACTTCATCATATGTTCTTTGTCACTGGAAGCATTGTGACAAGCCCAGGGTTAATTAAAACTAAGAAGACAATAAAATACACCTAATCAAACATAACAGGTACAGAAATCAATTAGCAGATTTATAGCACTTTGGAGGTTTCCATAATGTATAAAATTTAAAGAAACTGTCATTTCCATTTCCTCACGACAGTGTAATTAAATTTCTAATGGAAACTATTTTTCAGTAGGTAATGTACAACCCACTCAGGTTTCATTTGCATTAAAGTAGGGTCTATAGAAGTTGAAAGAGCTTGGGAAATTAAAAAGATCATTGAGTCATT